ATGAGCACATATTACTTCTTTCCATCTTCTCCATCCCTATTCTATCTGTGAATCTATCTCCACACCTCTGACCTGACTTTAGGCCCTATTTTGGCAGTCTAACTGATTCTCTAATTTTGAAGTTAGAACCACTATAAGAGTCTGAATTTTATTCATTCATTGATTGATGTGTAAAGGATTTATTGCATGATCTCTATGTGCCAGGTACTGTACCGGGTACTGGAGATCCAAAAGCAAACACAATGAACATGATTCTTGCCCTCAGGAACTTGTGGCCCAGAGTGAAGGTAGATTTCGTTATGAAAAGGGAAGTCCAGTTACTTTATGAGCCAAATATAGGAAACTAACCCAGTATGGAGGGTCAAGAAGGATTTCCTTTGCAAGTGAAATTTAAGAAGAGATCTTTGAACATTACTTAATAGTGTCCCTATTAGGATTTTGAGCAGGATATTCCTTCCTGACAAAGGAATTTCCCAGGCTCTGGAGGGCATTTATCCTGCCTGGACCCTGCAGCCCACTGAGTACAGAAACACCCTCAGGCACTGCAAGAACCAGAAACATCCCCACACATCTCTAAAAGCATCACAGGGAACAAGAGCAGCCCTGGCTGAGAGAGAAGAAACGTAGTAAGAGAGAACAAAATGAGCAAAGGCAGATAGGCGGTAAGCAGTATTTCTTTGGTGCGACCTTGAGCCTGATTGGGAGGGGGTCACAGAGGAAGAGGCACGAGAGGAGGCTCCAAATGTCAAGCAGGTACAGGGACACCCTGCGAAGGATGCTGAACTTTGAAAGGAGGGTACTAGAAGGCAGGACAGTAGAAGGATCAGATTTGCTCATCTATAATGCTGCTTCATCCTAAAGTATGATTCCAGTTTGGGACTATGGTGCTAATAGCTCCTGTTATTTCACCTGTTTTTGCCAATTTTTATTCTAAATATGTATTTCTGCTACATTTTCTTGGTGATGAGGGTTTGGGTACTGCCTCTGAGAGCTGCTCAACACACTGCCCTCTTCAATAACAATTACTTTAAATTTGTTATAAGGTTATTATACATTTCTTCCTTTCTCCTTCACTTTCTGCTTCTCTATATTTTATTCTTCCATTACTGATCATCACCACCAATCAGAGGAAAAAAGAAAAAAGAAACTTAAGTCTTTCAACTGTTGCACTCACAATTCTAGATCTTAATATCTGGACATTTGTCTAGATATGGAGAGAGAGGCAGGTAAGCATCTATACGTGTAAAATTAATTCTCATATATTAAGTTAGTTTCCAACAGTAAAATTCTCATAGGTTCTAGTCCTACATTTATAAAAATTGAAAGAACTGGCAATAAGTACTATGAAGTAGTGAGTCTCAGATTTTTGTCTATATTTTATAGTTTTGAGCAGTTTAAATTTTCCTCCATTCTGTTGAACAACTGAATAAGATAACACTCTGATTTAGTTTTTGCTATAATGCTGTGTTCACTGGACTTTCTACTTGACCACAGTATTCTGGAAATGCTGTCACCCCTTAGATCAAACTCTTAGAACAGTGGCATTGACTGGAAAGAGCAGCACCAATGTTTTAAAATATGTTTGTTTTTGTTTTTTTTTTAAATCCACAGCTGTGGAGCAATTTTTTCATTTTAAAAAAGAAAAAAAAAACAGTTCCATGACACAGAAAAAAAGAATTATTTCTAAACCTGGAAAAAAAACCCTGCATAAATGAAAACACATACAACTTTCTTCAAGGGAATCAATAAACTTAACAATCTTAGCAAAGATTAGAGTTAGAAAAATTTGCTTAGTATGTAGGAAGTAATATAGGTCCCAGAGTCACAGAAAACTTCTGAACCAGAAATTTCATTAGGTGTTGAGATGGCAGAAGAACTAGGAAGTGTTTTCCAGATCCCAAACAATTGATAACTTATGGACAAGTATATGATTCTTTTTAAATGTCGTTTACGAAGGGTATGGTGCCATAGTCATTTGCTAACATTTCCACCATCATGGATGATGAGTTATAGTGTATAATCTAAGTTGTCATATTGAGAGACAAATTAGTGGTAGAAGATGGATTAAAGAAAGCTAAAGAATAAAGCCATAACTGTAAAATAAAGTTAACAGAATAAAGCATGCAAGTCTATGTCAGGAATCAGAAGAGGAAAGTGTTTCACCCTTGTTTCCACAAAGTAATAAGAGATTTCTTGGCACATCACTGAATATGGTGTCTCAATTAAATATTATATGAAGGAGATTTAAAAGAAACTCAATGAAAAAAAATCAACAAAATGGTAGAGAATAACTGATACTTTAATTTCATTTACCGATGTTTTCACATGTGTTACAAAATTTAAAAACTATTTGTATGGACTCAAAAAAGTGATTTAAAATGTTATGCTAGATGATATTCCTTATAAAATGTTTTCTGTAAATATCTACCTATAGTAGCTCATGTTTACATATTTAAAGTATAGTTGAATAAACTTTATTTTACTTTAACCTTTGTCTTTATTTTTGTTTAACCTCAAAAATGTATGTACTATAAACCTACTTAAAAACAGAATGTCCTATTGAAATGAATCAGTGGATTCGTGAAGTTAGATACAGTAAAAGTCAAAAAAATTACTTTCCAAATATCTAAAGGTCTTCATTGAGTCTTCTTCAACAAACCAAGAAAATTATTGCAAAATTGTTTGATAGCTTTCATGGGTAGCATAATTTTAATTGCCAACACTTAAAAAGTGAAATTCTAGCAGCAGAGATTTTGATAAGCTAAAAACTCTGTTTGAGTCAATATTACATTTTAAATAGGCAAGACAATTCCAGCAATGGAATAAGGAGACCTTCATATCACTGCTGTGAATGCAGACTACACAAAAGACCATAATTAAACAATTTAGTTGTCATTAGTCATGCAGATTTTAGATTTAGAGCTTCTTATTTTGAATTCTAAACCTAGAATACTGAAAATGTCTTAAGTCAAAGTACAAGTAATAGTACCAAAACGCAAATTCCTTCTTTCTTTGATGCAAAGGCAATCAGTCATTTCAATCAAGTCTAGTAATAATGATTATTTTTTTAAAAACTAGTTGCAGTAATTTTTTTCCCTAAATGGTCATTCAGTGGCTCTATGTGGACACTCACCAAATTTACTTAGTACATACATGTATTATTATATCCTACAACAACATTGAATATCAAGTCTCGAAGGTCTACTGTTGAATGACTGTCACTTTCTACTGAAATAAAATGAGATCGATCTTTGAGATCAATTTATAAAGTGAAAGTCAGATAACTTCACTCTAAAATGTTAGGTAAACAGAAAGTCACTTTTCCAAATTTCTTAAAGACATATGCACAAATTCACTATCACAAATACATACATTTAAGTAACTACATATATTCATACATTTAAGTAACTACAGGAAAATAAAACAAAACAAACAAGCAAAAAACATCCTGTCCTGATAAAGGGAAGAAAATCTAAAACAGGTTGTAATATGACCTATAATTTTTCCGGTACAGATGTTCATCCACTAATTAGGTTGGGACACAAATCATCTGGTGACTGCCAATGTTTAATTTTCATCTATGCTAATTAACTTTGTAAGCTGTTATCTGCTTTTATAGGATTATTTGTTTCCCTAAGAGAGCAAAGTCACCAAAAAACTCTAATTTTAAGTCTTCAAAGGATCTTAAAAACATATTTCTCTAATTCATTCAAATGATGTAAGATGGCTTCCTTTTTTAAAAGTTATTCTCTGTTAAATGTTGTTTGCATTATTAGTGTGCTCTTATACCAGGGAACTGTAATGCCACGTATTACTTCAAGTGTAAGAAAACATACAGAGAATGCTATTTAAATAGCTAGATATTACTAAATGCATTCAAATGGAGGAAAGTAGAAAGAATTTTTCCTCTAAACAAAGTTTGACATAATTTTTCTTTTAAAAAATCATATATCAAAACAGTGACATTAAATTTACTCAGATGTTGCATTGTATATAGTAGTATGTAAATGCAGCCTTAGAACTATGAATCCTAGAAAACCTCTATTTTGCATAGCATAGGACTCCTTCAGCTATTATTATAGAAAAGCAATATATTTTCATTTGAGATCTGCAAATATGTTAGGCAATTGCAATGGCCTGTAAATATTCATTTTGCACATTTTTATTGAAATGTTAAAGCTGATTTTTAAATTATGATATTAAAATAAAGCATGTAAACATAGGGTTCTGGTGAACTAAACAGAACTTAGTAGCATACACAACAAAAAACTTAAATGTTGTTTAAATAGCAAGGTAATAGCAATGCAATTAAAGTTTGACTCAGGTACTTACATTTCATGCTTGACATAAGCACATCTCTTGACCCATCTTAGCAAGGTCTATTTTATACCATGAGCTATTCTGTACTCTCAGAAGACATGAATTGGTTAATTTAAAGCTAAAATTCTCCAATAAGTTTGGAATGGTACTAGTGTTTTTACCACATTTTTTCTTAAGTAAATATCAACTAAGACAAAGAATAAGCACAATGGAGTACAAATATTTAGTATCACGTTAATCCTGCCCTTGCTTTTTCAAAAAAATCTAATCACAGAGAAATAACTACCAGTAGTCATCTTTCTATTTTTCCGAAGGAAATTTTATTTCTGCAAATATCCTGGGAAGCATCTTTCCTAGTTACATTTCTGCATATCTAAATCACATATCTAAAGAATACATGTAGAATGTATAAAAGAAGCCATGTGTTATAACAGTGAAGTGACTTCTCAGGGAGTTACCTTATTTTATGTTAAACATACAGGTGCAAAAAAGATTATCCATCCTTCAAGCAAGTTGTTAGCTGAGAGTGACACATTTCATTTTCTAAGAGAAAATCTTTCTAAAGGAAACACTAGTCCACAAATTCAGATAGTATGAACAATTAGTCATGCTAATAGTCAAATTCTGGGTGGGGTGGGGTGGGGGATAAAAACACAGAACCAAGCAAAGAGCTTACTCACATTCCTTTCAGGCGTTGCCACATTTTTTCAGTGTGTTCTCCTATGAGATACTTAAAAGTGGTGTTTTCCAATTCTTCAATTTCTGTAGCAGTTGACCCCATGATGATACTCCTAGGGCAATATAGTTACAGTCAGTTTCAGCAGCTAGAACAAGCATTCCTCAGTCCCCTACAAATCTCAGTTATACAGTATCATCTCTTGTCTATCAAAATATTACAGATTTACAAAGCTGAGGGCAGCTTCTGTCAGAATTGCTATTGACTTTGACAGGCATATCCACTGCTCTCATCACCCGCCCTCCCCGCCCCCCAAGCAGACAGCTGTATAAACAGATCCTCTGACCTCACGGGAACAATCCTCACATGTGAGCCTGCTACTGTACTACTGACCGACTGAGCGCTCCAGCTCTCCCCAAAAGCAGCTCATCTGTTACTGTTCGGTGCACTGAAGCACCTCAGAATTCCTACAGTTTACAAGATCTATTATGCACAAGAGAAACGTGAATGACTTTAGCGCACCAGAAGAAGCTGAATTCCTCTCTACCAATGGAAGGAGGGCAGGACGTAATTAAGAAAGCAGATGGTAGGAACCAGTGTCAGCAGCACCACCCTGAGAAAAAAGTGCCTGTTTTAAATGCCAAGGTTTTTGTCTCTTAATTGATCTGTGACCAACAGTTAAAGATATATCATGCTCTAACAATGAAAGCAACAAATATTAATGACAACAATGAGGAAATAACACATAGAGCCATACAGAAGGCAGACCACAGAGCTCCACAGGTTGTTATTGAAAGACTGTACATCAATGATGCTGTAATCATGCTTATTCACCTTCTCCTAGCAACTCCACACAGTAGGTAACCGCCAATTTAACCAGAAGAAAACACGGCAGCTGCACACAGCCTGTTCCGTGAATCCTTTGGGGATTAAAAGATAAATAAAATGAAACTAGTGTGGATGCTTGTGTGTGTGTGTTTAAGGAAAGGGAGTGTGTGAAAGTGGGGGGAAGAAGAAAGGGAGCGAGGGAGAGAAATTGATGCTGTGCCGCTTGTGCATTTTAGAAGAAAAATGAGAGAAAATGAACATAAAAGGAATCAGAACTGAGTCATCTGCCAAGCTCCCAACACATGGTGAGCTTTCTTTGAAACAAGCACAGACCTTGAGTATGAGCTCCATAACAGCTATTGCTATCTGCAAGCTGCTAAGAAAAATACACTTAAAAGCAGTATCTCTTCTTGCTTGTTTTGAAACCCACATGTAGTTTTATTCCTCCCTGCAAGAAACCTTGTTTGTTACCTTGAAGTTTAAGGTAGAGATATTCATAGGTAGTAGAGAGATGATAATATCTTATATTTATTGAGTACTTACCATGTGTTAGTACTGACTAGTACCTAACGGTTTACCTTTTAAAAATTCTTACAAAGAGCCCGTGAAGTAGGTAACATTCCCATTTAACAGTTGAGGAAACTGAGAAACAGAGATATTTCCCAGATTTAAAGCCAGTCCTTCATTTTTTTTTGTTTTGTTTTTAAAGATTTATTTATTTATTAGAGAAAGAGACAAGTGTGGGGGGGGGCAGAGGGAGAGGAAGAGAGAGAATCTCAAGCTGACTCCCCCCTGAGGGGGGAGCCCGATGCAGGGCTTGATCCAAAGACCCTGAGATCAGGACCTGAGCAGAAATCAAGAGTGGGAGGCTCAGCCAACTGAGCCACCCAGGCACCCCTAAAGCCAGTCTTTTAAAACGGGCTCTATGATTTTACTGACAAAGTCTTCCAATATGAGGTTACTTTGAGTGTCTAAACACGGAATGCATCTAGTGGTCAAAATCATAATATATATATGTAAAAAGCATCTTTGCAAAATTTTATAGAAAGTGCCTTCTGATTGACAAATTAGAAGAGGTGAGCTTTTCTGCACTATTGAGGCACAGTCGATACAGGTGTTGTTCTGGGTTCCCATAAAACCAGGAAACTTCCACAGTGTCAGAGCCCTTGATGTCCTGCAGATAAAGGAGCAGGATGCCCTCACATTCCTTGCAGCGGGAACCTACTTGGCACCAACCTGGCCCCAACGCCGACTTCCAAACAAAACCGTCACCTACAAAAGGGAGAGTGATGCCATTACCTCATAAATCTGAAGAGGACCTGGGAGAAGCTACCGCAGGCAGCTCGTGCCATTGTTGCCGTTGAAAAGCCGGCTGCCATGGGTACCATGCCCTCCAGGAGCAGTGGCCAGTGCGCTGTGCTCAAGTTTGCTGCTCCCACTGGAGCCACTCCTAATGCTGGCCGCGCGGCCCTGGAACCTTATCTAAGCAGATGGAGGCAGCCTTCTGGGAGCCGCAGCTTCCCGCGGTTACTGATCCTGGGGCTGACCCCCCGCCTCTCCAGAGGTGTCTTAGTTAACCCGCCCACCCCGGGTCTGCTCCATGTGGTCACTGCCACCCCAGAGCAACAACAAGGGAGCTCGTTCAGTGGCTCTGACGTGGGGGAGGGGCGCCGGCCGGTGGCCCCATCCCCCTGAGCAGCCACAGAATGTCAGGCCTGGTCTCTACTTGCACAGAGATCTAAAGAGATTGAAAAGGAAGCGCAGGCCGCTGCTGAAGATGCTGGGCGCAAGGAAGAACTTTGCGAGAACGGACTGCTCCAGCTCCAACTTGGGGCTACTCAGCAGAGCTGGCGGCCAGGCGGAAGGTACAGGTGCCCTCTGCGCTTGCTCCGAGGTTCCGGCCTGAAGCCTGGAGCGCCAGGCCCCCCACCCAGGGCCTGTCTGCAGCCCCCGCCGCTTCGGCCACGCAGTGGGTAGGAACCACCGTCAAGAGGTTGCAGGCGCTTCTGCATACTCGTCAACAGAAAATGGAAGTAAGGTTGGCAGAAAATAAAGTTTCTAAAAAGAAGAAGAGGTTAAATCAACTGAAGCTTCAGTTTTCCTTTCTTCGACAAGTTACTTTCCTGAGCTCCATGTGAATGTAAGGTCTTTAGCTAGCCGACAGCTTTACGTAATCACAACCTTACCCCATGAGCATTTACCAGAATAGTCAGAAATAAGTTGGTCATTGCTCTGAAAGTACTGATTTTACCTTCTCTGTGCCTTCATTTACAATTCCAGATACATTTACTTAATAAACACCTGATTTTTCTTTAATGAGGTAGTCAACATCTCAATTCTGCTCCAAAGATGAATCACAGTGAAAAATCTCTGTAAAATGCAAGCACTCCACCATTACTATTTTATGAGCCAAACACCATAGTCCTTGAGGTTATAATCCTGAGGCTTCAAGTCACAAATTAGATCTCCTAATTATGCCAAGATATGTCAAGCCCTCACATTGCCTAGCTTACCAATAATATTGCAATGTAAAAAAATGAGGACTATTCTATTTAAGTGTGGGTGAATTTTGTCATTAAAACTTATTTGCCCTTTTACTCTCACTTCTGTCATGTATTGATATTTAAGAACTCATAGTGTACTGATTACACTATGAAGTGTGTACTGATTACACACTTAATACACAAAAATGCTTAATTACTGCATTAAATGTTTCATAAAATTAAAATTTGAACAATAAGCTATGCAGAACAGCTTATTATTTAAATCCTTGACCAATATAATATTCAGCCTCAGGCAGCATCAAAAATTTATTTCTGTTAATGTAGGGAATTCAAAGCATTTGTCTTTTATAGTTTATAACTAACATCTACAAGATGTATTGATAGACTAAAAATAAAATAAATCACATTGGATAGAATAGAATAGAATTTAAGGAATAACACTCAACTTTTTTTTCCTAATTAATCTGTTGAAAAAAATTTGAAATGTTGCATTCATAAAATTAAACTAAACCAAAAAATTCTGACATGAGACAGAGAAATAAGATAACAAGAAATTATTCTAAGAAATTAAAATATGCTTGCCAAAACAAAACGTTCTATATGAGTTCTGGGGAGAAGTTGAAAAAATAATCCTAAATATAGCATAAAAATTGACCTAATTTTATCTCTCATATGTTTTATCTCTTTTGCTTTAATTCTATGTTCAGATAAATTATCTGTATTATAATAAGTAGTTCCTTCATTCTTATTACCTAATATATTTTATTGGAATGTTGACAAAAATTTATAGAATGGTTTTTCAGCATCAATTGATGCCAAGATAAAGTACAGCATAGAGTGGATCCAGACTTCCTGATTTCGAATCCTTGTTCTTTCACTTAGAGAATTATATGATCTTTTGCAAGTTACTATTATGTGTCTGTTTCCTCATGTACAAAGGAACATAATAATATCATCTTTCTCATAAAGTTGATGTAAGAATTAAATGAGTTAATATACATAAAGAACTTAAAACAGTATCAGGCACATAGTAACTGCTCTATTAAATTGTTAGCATTTATTATTGACATTATTGCATGACTTTTCTCTTTTAGATTGTAGTGCAATTATTTATTTCAGTTGGTTTACTAATCATGAACTATTTTCCAAATAATTTGTTATAGAACATTATAGTTTTATGCATTGCTAGTGTTCGTTTTGTTTAGAAACTACATCCTTATTCACTAGTGTGCTGTTTGAAATATTTGTGGCACTAACTTTATGGTTTTTCATATTAAGGTTATACTAGCACCATGTAATAAATTGGAGGGCAAAGAGTTTTAAACTTACAAGTCCACACCCAGCAAATGGCAAAGATAAATGATAACATATTCAGAAGCACCAAATTCAGAAAGCATACCACTCAGATACTCTTCTAAAATAATTACATGAAAAAAATAAGTGAATAAAATAATTACATGAGTCAGTATACCTGAAAAACAAAAAAGTAATTAGTGACTAAAATCAGAGACATGTATCTAACTAGCTGTGGAGATTAAAAACAAAATCCCCGATTTACTTCTGTGAAGAAGGGTTAGAAAGAAAGTTCAAATTAGAATAAGAAACTAAGGGGATCCAAAAAAGATGGCTTCAAGAAAAAATGGATTAAATTTTAAAAGAATCTTAACAAACTAAAAAGATTATTTTATGGATTAAATGAGAGCATATTATTTCTTTTTTTATTATGTTATATTGATCACCATACATTACATCATTAGTTTTTGATGTACTGTTCCATGA